GGTGAGGGCAGGCAGAGCCAGGGGTTCAATATACATGAAAAGCTGTGCAATGTACTACATATGGAACACTTTTGGGAATAAAGGTTTGGGTCAGACTGAGGCTCAGTGCACAAGTTTTTGGAGAGCTATCTCACTTGTGCCGAGCACTGACAATACATACCCACTTCATAACTACCCCAGTTGTGGAGTCTATTTATTTATTCCGTGTATCACTTCATTAGCACCAAGCTAATAACCAGAAAAATGCTGCAATCTCTGAATCTGAACTGACAAGCAGTTCTTGTCCTTTCAGACAGACTGTACATCCCTGTGAAAGAGCTGAGTGAGGGATTGACATCTTTCTAATAGTTCATCAGATAAAGAGGATCTGCACCTATCTTTGTGTGACTGGAGACGAACCAAAAGTAGCAAGGGGAGGAGGACTGCAATAGGACTGCAATAAAAGAAGAAACCAGCAAAATCTATCAGTGGTTAAATAAGTGAGAAATTACGGCAGTTTCTGCACTCCTGCTGAAGGAGCTGGGAGCAAACACATCAAAGTTAAGTGAGAAGTCAAGCCACTATGGATGTGATCTCTGGCGACCAAACATAACAGGGGCACTTGGGACCAACCTTGTCTCTTACGTTTGTTGCACACATGGTCACAGTGTGCAGATAAAATGAACACTGCACTCAAGCAATATAATACTCAAAATTTAATAGAACAACCAGGAAAACATTGTGGTGCACTAGAAGGATTTAAATGTCTTTAATAGTATTTAGCTGGTTTGCTACATTTCATGTTGGAATCCTGGAAAATGCTGTGCATAGGATATGGAATTATTTCCATGGTCAAGAAAATTTCTAGATGTAAAAAACACAGTAAGGAGAACTTTACCTGAAAGGATTTAAAAGACTATTCACTTCATTCTTCTTCCCAGGAAGACCCTTTTACTGAGGGTGTGGAAAAAAATGAACGTGAGGTTAAATGGTTGTGTCTCCTGGTTCTTCCCCTGTGGCATAACAACTAAGAATTAGAATGGGGACAGAAACCAGCTTATAGAAATAGTTTAGAAATGAAGAGCTTTTTATCATGAGAACCCCCTCCTGACACATCAAGACATATATCACACAGCACCACTCCCAAAAGACATTTTAAGTGCAGATATCCTTGTTTCATTTTCTTTTTCTGCACTGGGTAGAGACATTCCTCATTCTTGAAGGGGAAAAAGTATTGGTTGATTTAATTCAATTTAAAATCTTGATTTCAGAGTGATAAACCAATCAAGATATAAGAGAACACAGGAATATAAAAAATTGAAACTCATATAACTTTATGAGAGACATTTGAGAAAATGTTTTTTTCATAAAATTAAATCCTGCACTTTTAATAAATAGACAAAAGTGATGGTTATGTAGCTTTCTTCTGCTAGAGTTTCCCTCTCTCTTTTTTTCCCCCTATGGAAATATTACAGAAATATTGAGTGACTCACTAACTTCTTATTAATGAAAGTTATAGATATTCTCAGTTCAGTCAGAGAAAATGGAGGGTTTCTAACCAGGAAGGAGCCTGGGAAACAGTTGGGAAGGACTGTAAATAATTCTTTATCTCTCTTATTGTTCACATTGTTTACTGATAAGTTCTGCCACTGAGCATCATTCATTGCACACCAGCGGTCTGAGATGTTTTTACTCTGGGACCAATGGAATTGGTCTGGATGATGCTCTCTATAAAAGAGCGATGTATTTGAAAGAAATTAGAGTTTTACTCTCTCACTTTCTAAACTGGAGTTCTTTCATTCCTGTCCTACCTCAACGGCGACAGAAAGTTGTTTGAATTTTGATGGAATTGTTTGGAGACCATTGAGCAGCTCTGTGATGGCCACAGAATTGTGCCCTTTCTCTATCCCCATCCAAGGGGTACAAAGACACAGAACAAATACACTATTCATTTGGACTTCTGGAGGTCATTTGGAATTAATTCCTCACTTGAAATGCCTCAACTGGAGCACGACACCTACCTGTGGGGTCCTCAGCACTAGGAAGGACATAGATCTGTTGGATCAAGTTCAGAGGAGATGCTCCCAGGGCTGGAGCCCCTCTGCTCTGGAGCCAGGCTGGGAGAGCTGGGGGTGCTCCCCTGGAGAGGAGAAGCTCCAGGGAGAGCTCAGAGCCCCTGGCAGGGCCTGAAGGGGCTCCAGGAGAGCTGGAGAGGGACTGGGGACAAGGCCTGGAGGGACAGGACACAGGGAATGGCTCCCAGTGCCAGAGGGTCGAGTTAGATGGAGTATTTGTAAGGCAGTTTCCTGTGAGGGTGGGGAGGCCCTGAGACAAAGCAGCTGTGGCTGCCCCTGGATCCCTGGAAGTGTTCAAGGCCAGGTTGGATGGGGGTTGGAGTGCCCTGGTTTAGTGAAATGTGTCCCCACCTATGGCAGGGGCTGGAAGAAGATGGGCTTTAAGGTTCCTCCCAACCCAAACATTTATGGGATTCTGTGAAGAGGACTATTGCCTTCATCACTCTATAGTAGGTATTGTGGATATTTTTTGCCAGCTTTAAAGAGCTCCTGAGTGTGGCTGACAAGACTGTAGTAATGTAACAGAGTACAGCAGACTGGGCAAAAGAAACCTCCTCAAATTCTACAAGACTGAAAGATTCTTCCCCTGGAATCCCCATGCCACAGAGTTCATGAAGTCCTTAATGTTCTCTATTTTAGTGCAACCCCATGTTGTGAATCAGACTGATCTAGGAAGGGGCAGCAGGCCAACTCTTGCTGCTCAGGTAGTGTTTCCTTGTAGTCCTCCACATAAAAGACAACTTTCCATACCCCACACAGAGGAAAACATGAAACATTTGAATGGCTGAGCTGGATGGCTGTGCATTGCAGAGGATGCAGACATACCTGACTATAACATAACCTGCTCAGGAGCATCTGTTGGGAACAGGGTGACTCCTAGGAGCCACTGGAGACATATAGCACACTCTTCTGAAAGCTGCATCTCTTTCCAAGGAACTCTTCTAACAGAGAGCAGTATGCAGAGGTGATCTAGAGAGTCAAATCTATCTTGGAGGTGAGACTGAGAAACTGTGAATATGGGAATTGTACTTAAGCAGAAAAACCAGAGATCACAATACTGTATATGCCTTGTAAAACTCCCACAAGAAGAAAAATAGGACAGATTTAGCCAAGTCTTAGGGTCCCCAGGTGGTCCAAGAACTCCCCAGTTAATCGTTGCCTGCAGAAGTGAAGCAATGAGCTGATTTGAGATTTGGTAATTGACTGAATACATTCTCAAAAATGTATTTCAGCAGTTGGCACAGGTGCTCTCTGGGTGGGAATTTCAGTGTGCCCTTCAGGCACCCCTGTGCATAGAGCAATCCCTGTGCTTAACTGAGCCATCATCCTGGGTGGAGAATGTGGAGAATTCAGCCCCTCCTTCCAGAGATGCCTGAGGGGGTTTTGCTGCAAAACTGAGCAAGGTGTATAGAGATAAGATGCCTATGAATAGCCCACACAAACTGTCCCTGCAAACGCAGAAATGGTCACGTAGGACAGATCTTTAGCAAATGCACAGTCAAGAGAGGCTCAGAATGTCAAGATCTTCACTAGTGATGGATCTGCACCTGTGGAACTGCAGGGAGAACTGTGGGCTTCACCACAAGTGTTCAGCAAACCAGCAGTTCGGTCAACAGCTCCTGTTGGAATGGTACCATTCCCCATTACTTTGTATCAAGACCTATAATATGGGTTAAAAAAAAAAAAAAAAAAACCAAACCAAAAAAAACCAAACCAAATATCGCCCTTGGAAAAAAAAAAAAAAAAAAAAAAAAAAAGGAAGAAGTAACAACCTGCTCCCCAAACCAACCCAAACCCACAAAACCCCAAACAACAAATGCTCTGTCCTTGTCCTTGTCTATTCAACAGATACAGGAATAATACAGGAATAACCAAGTATAAGAATATAAAGGTCACACAATTTCACAGATGTATGTCTAAATCTAAAACACCAGGCACTGTTCCAGATAATATCAGCTGAGGTTTACAATACTTCAGGATGAACTTTGTGGCCAGATTGTATCTCAATAATTACTACCCTCTATTTAAAATGAACCCAGTCTTTCTGGTTTTGAACCTGCCTTTTCTGAATGAAAGCAGCTGTCTCTTGGTTCCCAGTGACAGTCCAGATAAAAAGGCTGTCTTGCTGCAGCTGTTTTTTGTAGTCAATCGGATTTTTTTTTTGGCGTGTAGTTTTCTTTCTGTTTGTTCGTTTGATTTAGTTGTTGTTTTTTAGAGTCAGATATCACAGAAATTTCTAAATTTCCCTCTTCTCAGCTGTATTGTGTATTTAGAAGTGAATGCAGGACATACTAAGCAGAAGCACAGGATGGAATTATACCTGTTGTCAGTTTGTACCACTCCTGGATACACATGCGACTTGCCTTGTAATTCAGTAGATATTCAGCATTTTTTTAGAAAAAGGGACTGTTAGTAAACACCACCCTTCCCAAGCAATAGCATTTCAACACAAAACAGAGTAGTCAAAACAAACCGAATTTATCAGTACAAGTGATCACACGACTTTAAATGGCTGGTGAGGCCCTGGCACAGGTGCCCAGAGCAGCTGTGGCTGCCCCTGGATCCCTGGCAGTGCCCAGGCCAGGCTGGACAGGGCTGGGAGCAGCCTGGGACAGTGGGAGGTGTCCCTGCCATGGCAGGGGTGGGGTGTGGTGGGATGGGATGGGAAGGGCTTTAAAAGGACATTCCAACTCAAACTGCTCTGGAATTCTGTCAGGGTTTCAAAAGCCAGGGAAAGAGATTACTTGTGTGGACTGTGTGGGGATGTCAGACACCATTTCTGGTATTAAGCAAGTTCTAAGAATTTTGCATGGAATCCAGCTCATGGTGGAAGCTGTACACAGTGAACTTTAAATTCCAAACCGCATTTTATCACATCCCAGAACAAACAAACAAACAAAAAAAAGTGTTTCAAACTTAAGGATGATATAAAATAGCAAAACTCAGTTCAAAAATTAGGTAACTTTATTTGACACTTTTAGAAATTTTTTACAGTTTTAAACTAAAACAGACTAAAGAAATTCCAGTGTTTTTAAAAAGCAAAATAGAAGGAAAAAACTAAACACCTACAATTTGACTAGCTGACCAGTCAATGTCAAGTTTGCTTTCTTTCCTTGTAGCTCTGTATGCCTGAAAGAGCATTCCTTATTCCATAGAAAATCACTCTGGAAAACCCTTGGGATATTTCTCATCTCTTTGTCTTAAGATTCTACCATCCTTGTTAATTTTGAAATTGTTTTTTTCCCATCTGTGTTACATCACAGAAGGAAAGCTAATCTACATCTGGTCACTGGAAATCAAATGTATTATAATGTATTTACATATTAAAAAAAAAAAAATATATATAATGATGTGCTGTGCAATTGGATAGAAGGCTGTAATTCAGCCAGAGGGAGGGCTGGTATCAAAACCATAAAGATCCACACAGACACAGGGTGGGAAAAGGCCACCCAGACTGAACTGAAAATCTGATGCTTGTACTATGGCAAGACCTACAGTTTTGGAAAATCAGAAATATTTGCCAAAAATGTTTTTTACTACTTAGGAACAAACTTGCTTTGTCCCTTGGTTTTCGCAATGGCTCTCTCCTAGTGTCAGCACAGGAAGGGATTCATAAGGTGACACACTTAGTACTTCATACTACTTGCAAACAATAATAACAGAAAAAAATATTTTGTACCACAGATAGAAGATATTGTATCATAGACAAAAGACACAGAATTACTGCTTTATCTACCCTTGCAGATATGCAATATGCACAATTTTGCAAGCCATCAAGTAGTAGCCTGAGTGAGGGAAAGGGACCCTCTTCCCATGGGGAATCAACAGCCCCACAATCAGCTACAACTGTGGGACTGAGCCACGTGGTGTATGCCATTGACAGAGTGACTGATGAGGTAAAGGAAATACAAGATAGGAACCAGGGACCTGGGGAAGGACATTGATTTTATCAGCCTCACTAACTATATCCTTACAGAGAACGGAATTACTCATTCATTATGTCCCATCTGCACTTCATTTCCATACCTTGTTTGTTTGGAATCTTTTTTGCAGGAAAAATACTCCAAGTAAGTTTTCATACCAGTCTCCTACACTGACCAACTTCCTTAGCCATTCTTTTTATGGGGGCAGGGGGTGTTTTTTAGAGTGGGTTTTTTTCTAATTTTACAAAAAAAAAAATTATTAAGGGGACAAGCTGCATAGATCTTAAAACAGGAAAAACATGTAACACGTTGGATCAAGGGAAAATCTTTCCTTCAGTACCTGAAATTAGCTTAAAGTTTATTCTTCATGCATACATATATAGAGGTAAACAAAAGCATTTGCAAGTTTTTGCAAAATTGCTAAAATTTGCAAAATTGCTAAAATGAACAATCTTTTAGGTTGCACTCTTCATATACTATCCTACATACTACTACTTGAACACCATTACAAAGTCCTTCCACAAAGACAGCAGACATTTAAGACTAATCATGTTATCTCCAAGAACCATCTTCCTCTCTAAAAGCAGCTACTGTCAAGCATCCAAATGGGTCTTTGCTCATAAATCATCTTTATACTGCTTGAAATTTTTGCTTCCAGCCTCCCAACAATCCACACCCAGAGAATTTCTGATTCAATTTTAGTAAAGTAACACTAGCAGGGGTCACAGGGGGCCTCTGACTTGCTGGCAGGCTATTAGACCCCAGTTCCTCCAGCCTTTAAAGAACATGGCCAGCAGTGAACAGAGCATCTACAGGCAGGGCTGTAAATTCAGATTTTTTTAGGTTTTGCTTTTCTGTGTTGCTAGGCTGAAAGTAGCAGCGCTCATAGCTCCAGTGGCACCTTTAGGCTCAAGGTTTTGTGTGTTCAGCCCGCGAGGAAGGCAGCATGTGGGGCGGGTGGTCAGTTCCATTTCTGCCTTTCATACAGCACCAGGGTGCTCTGTGACACACAGATTCCTTCTTGCTCTCCCACAACCAGTGCTGGCTGTGGGACTCTCTGTGAGAGTTTGACAGTCAAAAGGTCGCCGGAGGAGACAAGTGGCAAAGTATGAGTTGAAGACAAACTGGTGACATGCTCACCCCAGCAAAGGCACAGCATGGCACGCACTGGCCAGCACAGCAGTTTCCCACACAGGCTTGTCGCCAACTTAGGATCTGCTGTAACATCTTTGATAAACATTTTTTGCAGTCTCCACTACTGATTATGAAAAAAGTAGATTATGACCCAAACCAAATTAAACTATGCCACTGTGGGTTGTGTTTTTGTCAAACTAAACCTGAACTACTATTTTGAAGTTTTTGTTCAACATCAATCAGAACAACTTCAGTCAGAGCAGAACAATAAAATTCTCTTCTGGTTCCTTGCTGGGGAATGATGTGAAGGACTGTGCTTCTCCTCAAACAGCACCAAGCTTCCCACCATCCCAGTGTTCAAGGGTTGGATCCACAGTGGCAGGTTTGTGGCAATTTCCTGACTACAGACATATGCTTCAGAAGAAAATAGCTATTTCTATCCATTCCAAACCTCTGGCTCAAGGAAGAAGTTACTGTACTGGAAACATCAGACAGGATTCTTGCGCCAACCCCATTCCAGGGTCGGGTTCTGGGAAACCTTGCCGGCTTCAGTGCACTGACTGAAAGGGTGCTGCTGCTCATGCCAAGTGCCACATTCTCAGAGCTGGGGATCTTTCAGCAGCACTTGACTATGAGGTGTTGGCTGTCTGCTACTGCAGGGTTCCTACCAGCCCAAGCCACCGATTTTTTTAGGAGTGATGACAGAATACTGTAATCACAAAATGGTTTGGGTTGGAAGGGACCTTTAAGATCATCTCATTCCAGCCCCTGCCATGGGCAGGGATGCCATCCACTAGTTTTAGGTTGCTCAGGACTACATCCAGCTTAGCTTTGAACTTCCAGGGATGGGGCATGAGCTGGTGATGAGCTGGTTTACTTTGAAACCATGTCGCCGCATATTTTCAGCTGACCAATATTTACATGAAACACTCAAAGTCAGTGCACAACATACAGTGCATGTCTGTCAGCAGGAAGCAGTTCTTAAGCAAAAAAAAATCTAGCTAGCATATAATCTCAGAATTTCTCAGAGACAAGCACCTGGATGAAGTTTGCCATCTGGAGCTGAACTTGCATGCTGACATGCAGAAAATTATTATGAGAAAAACGTAACACAACCTTCACCTAAGGAAGGTAGCTCCAAATAATCATAGCAGCCTGTGTACCTGTAACCCCTGGCTGCTGGACTCACCAACAGCTTCTGGGAAACAGAACCAAGCCTGAGCCCCTGTATAATATGAAGTTAAGTCCTCTGCTAGTTCCTGAAATTATAGATTATTGTGTACAGTACACTAGTTCCCAATTCAAGAAAATTCTATTTAAACACATTATTCATAATCTATCACTAATCTACAGATAGTAAAATGCCATCTTTACTCCACATAATCTGAATATTTAACTGCAAAACTCAAAAAGATGGAACCCTCACAGAAGAACACATAATTTTGTGTTAATAATAAACAGAGATGATAGAAAGGATCAGTGGAAAGAAAGTTCTTTTATGCCACTGGCCAAAGGAAGCTTCTGGTAGAACACAAAGCTGTCTTGTTCTGAAAATGCTTCAGGCTGCCAGAAGCAATACAACAAATTAAACATAGACAAAAAAGACTAAAATTGATGTGATTTCTTTCTAGATTTATCACGTTTAAGTAGCAGAAAACAGTCTTTGTCTCACAAGAGCTGAACTGTCCATCACAGTGGTTACAGAACACCCTGACAGCATTCATGATATAGAAACTGAGTACTCGGGGATGAAGTTCATGCTGTAACATCGTTAAACTCAGGAATCCTGACCCTCGGACTATATCTGGACAGGTAGGCCAGGGCAAGTTGCCTGGCCCCAACTGCCAGTGGCATGAAATTACTCTGGTTGGTGTGGTTCAGTTCTCTCCTCACAGAACCAAAGGAGCTCATGCACTGGGCACTGCCCTGTCCCACTGAGCCCTTCACCTGCCAGCCACTCCTAGATTTTTCCTACCACCAGTGCCAAAATTTCTTTATTAAGTCTATTAATTCTAATGTCATCCCTACTTGAAAATGACAAATTGTTTTTCCAATTTGCAGCAGCAGTTCAGATTTTTGGATATTTATCATGCCCTTAGATCTCCTCTTCAGAGTATACTCCACTGCCTTTCTTGTTCAGCATCTCCTCATGCTTTCTGAGTCACCTTCATTTTTTTTTATCTTCCCTCTCTCCACCCCACCCAGCACCACTAGCAAAAACCTAAACTGAAAAGCTGTTAGTACAGCTCTGTTCTTCATGTCCCACCCCGGCTAGGAAACCACATGCAAGTTTAAAATACCTAAAGATTAATTATTCCTAGTTGATGATGTTTTATGCACCTCTGAAAATGGTTCCTGTCCTCATTCACCTGAAGACACAGCCCTACACTCTTCTTAAAATATCAGAGACCACACTCATCTTGGAAAAAAGTATAATCTCTGTAGGCTTTGGATGAGTTTGGATCTACTGGTATGTCTGTATTTCAGAATTGTGTCAATGTGCTATGTGCCAAGCATTGATAATCATTAGTTGTATACACTGCAGCTTGGCCAGCATATTCAGCCTTCAGTGCACTACAAATAACACATCAAATGATACTCTGATTTGTTCACGGACAGTTAATGAAGCTGCTGTTAAAAAGGAGTATCATGGGCCTTACATCCTATACAGCCTGTGTAGTGCAACAAACCAGAGACACACACACAGCCATGGGGCTCAAGACCAGAACAAAAACACTGGATCTCGCACTAAAACAGCGCACGCGAGCTTTAACTTCAAGGCAACACTGTTCTCAAACATCCAATACTGGCTTTTTTAAAGAGCTGCAGGTAAATTCACAGCATCTCCCCGAGGCAGATTAATTCATTAGTGACTGCAGCCACAGTCAGCACCAGTTTCCAGCATACACAGAAGTCAAGAGGCACTACCATGGTAGTCATGATCTGTTCCCAGTTAGAACAATGCAGTGGGAATGCAAAAACCAAAGCTGAAACACAGAAATGCGTATGGCTGAAAAATACTGTCAAGACATTCCTAACAACAGCCATAGCGAGGGGTACTGTAAGGAAAGAGCATCATACTCTGAAGGAAAAGCTTGACCAATTATCCAAAGACCATGGAAAATGTTCAAGAAATATGGAAACAGTTTTCTAAATGAAGTTTTCTATGAAACATGTTAATAAACCTTTTGGAAAATAGGCTATGCTGCAGATTTTCTGTTGTCTGGTATCTGCCCAAGTTTAGAGAAAACATTATAATATTTTTGCAAGTGTAATTCTTACACATGTGGATGCACTTTTATTAGTGCCACTGGTAAACACAGAATATATTTTCAAACCTATTCTTTTGTGTTTCTTTTTTATGTATTTCATTTAAAATGCTCTTCATTTCTGACAAGAAAAATAAAATCCACGAAACTTAAAGAGGGTTTGGGATACTTTTCTCTTGTCATCCTCAGTAAAGTCCTTCATATTCCATTCTACCTTCAGCTGCATTTGGGCAATCCTTCAGTAGGGAACAGACCAAAACAAACACTTGGGGAAGGAATCTGACCCTCACTATTGTGATGCAAAGAGTCAGATTTTCTCAAACGGATTTTTGTTTTAGTTGTGTTGGTTGTTGTTGCGGTTTTTGTGTTTGTTTGGGTTTTTTTTGACTAAAATAAATGCTTCCCCTGAACACATACCAGTTCTCAGGGAACAGAACCCTTACTGAATTTCTAGATAGGTAGGGCTTAGTATGTGAAAGACATAAACAAGAAACCTGTCAACATTATTTTTAACATTAATGTCACTTTCATTACTTTAAATATTAGAACTCAAGCTTTAATATTTAAAGTAATGGTGGGGAATGTGTATCTGAAATAATCAAAATCGGAGTCAGTCACATTGAACTGATAGATGCATTTTCCTATACAACGTTAAGTTTTAAATTAAGCTGATCAGGGAAGTTTTTTAAAGATTAAAAAATACAGCCTTGGTGTTTGATGGAAGGGATTGATCTGCCCAGGATCAGGGTCCGAACAGTCACAGCCAAGCTGGAGCACCACAGTCACCTGATTTGTACAGTACTGAGATAGTCAAAGTCTGTAAATTGTTTCAATTTCACATGTCATTTCACAACTGGAGGTACTGCACTGAGAAGCAATCAGGATTTTTTTTCCCTGCATTCCTTCTTGTTCAGGGGAGAAAAAATTACACTTAAAAATAGATGGAAATTCCCCAAAATCTGAGGTGAAGCAGAATGTCCAGAATGCAACTGTGAAATGCCTAATTCAGTGTGACCAATTCTTCTGTTTAAACTGAGCTATGAACAATCTGAAATAAACTGTTTCCTAACCACACAAGAGAACAAGTGCAAAAGTACAATTTCAAGTAGATGACAATACCTAATACCTCATCATCAGAAAGCTACTGGCTTTTAAATATGTAAAAAGCTACTCCAAACAACATTCTGACTAAGAGATGATCAAGGCAAAAACCAATAGAACTTTGAGTCAGTCTCCAACTTACCTTGCTATTTGTCAAGTTCATTATTTAAACACAAGATTGCTTTTTTAATTTTAATAGCCATACTTACACAATTACTTAAGGCATAATCCAGCTAATTGAAGTTTTCAGTAAAATGTTTTCGTTGCTTTTTATTAGTAATAACTGTTCAGGTTATGGCTGGCCAAAGTAACGGTCCATCAAAGAAAAGACTGAAAACCAGATTGCTTTAGTACTATCTTCCATTAGGGCAATTTGTAAATTAAATGTAGTGTTGTAGTTGTAAATTAAATGTAGTGTTGGCCATTGGACCCAGGGAGCCTTCCAAAAAACTTCATAAATCATCCTATCAGATAAGGTTCAAGGCTTTAAGTGGGAGCTGGTAAAACTCTGAAGCCAGAGTGTGGTTTTAGAGAAAGCAGTTCACATCCTAGAGAAAGAATGCTACCAGTGCCCACAAAAGCTTTCATCCAAAAAGCACAGGGCAAAATTTTGGAAGATATAGCCAAAAAGACAATGGCTGATATTTAAGTGACATTCTTGAAAAGAGAGCTTTTCAACTCCAATTCAACATGCCAACTGGAGACTCACAATTTAACAGCAGTGCCTCTGACTGCATCACTGTGACAATACTTTTGTAAATGACATTTTGGGCTCTCAAATACTCAAGAGTATTTCTTCCATGAAATCTGGAATCATACCCAAGGATCTTATAATACCTCAATTTTCTATTTCAGTTTTTGTGTAAAGTGTTTGAGGCTTTCTGGAATTGCAATGTAAACACAGAACAGACTCCTCTGATAAAGTCAAATGTACTTAGATGGAATACGTAATAGCCAAATCCCATCGTCTTTCTACATACAAAAGCTGATGCATAAAAAACTCAATCATGTTATACAGGAAAACAATTTCAGGAATATGAAGTAAGACCAGCTGCACCCCAAAATTTTTAAATTTACAAATTCCTTCACAATGTAGCAAGAAACACAAAACAGTAAGTGAGCTCCCAGGTTCATTCCAGAACCTGACAGACTATGCTTTGGCTACTCTTGGGACAAAGACCAAACATGACTTAGGCAGTTGGTAAGTTACTGAGCAGCAAGTAACTTTTAAATCACAACTGTCTCTAGGACCATATGTGCTCCGTTGGGAATGAAAAATCAAACTATTTTCTTCAGAATTAGAAATCACAATTATATTCCTTGAATGAAGAACGAATAGAAGCTCAAAGCCCCAAACATAAGAACATTTGCGCTTTAACATTTTTCCAATGAAAATATTGCCTGTTAAGTTTAGTATAGTGCTACTACCTAATTTTTTTCACCTATTTGGTTTATATTTTATTTTTAAACATTCCTAATATGCATTTGCTTCCAGGCATTATTCTGTGACCAACCCTGTTTATTATCAGAGCACTTAAGAGTTCACATGAATGCCTAGAAAGCTTCCTGGAGCTCTACTCACCCTGCCTTTTAAACTAGACTAGTAGCTCAGATACCTAGAAATAAAAACAAAGACAAAAACGTTAAGAGATGCATTTAATGCACCATGGTAGCATAAAGCCTTTTGGACTAATGGTAATTTAACCATTCTCTGCATTTCCTGAATGTCAGTTTATAATAATGCATTCCCTTATATCAATGGCTTTGACAAGTCAAGAGAAGTAAAGTAAATTGTGACAATAGGGAAAGTGCCAAAAAAACCCAAAGAGACCATGTTTCTCTCAAGTAAGCATTGTAGCAGACTTGTTCAATGTTTTTCCTCCACGTTAACCTACATCATGGTAAAGCAGTGAAACAGCCACACAAGCACAGAGTACTGAGTAAATAAAGACTCTTGATGCTACCCTGCTATAATGCAAATGGAACAAATGGTCAAAGGCATTCACTAACAGTGATCATTGAAACCCACACATCAGAACTCCTGGAGAGCACCATGTTTCAGAAAGATGTTTTAAGTATATAGCTGTACCGAAGCTGGAGACAGAACATTCCTTGTTGGATTTGATGATCAGACTCCTAGTGAGGTTCCTCAATGAATGCAAACCTTACTAAACCAGTCCTACACACATACTGGTTTTACGTATGTTTGTGAGGGAAAGGAGGGAATTCTTATCACATCACTTATTCCAGCTGGTTTTGTTCTGCATTTAGGCATTTGCTTTCAAGGTCATCCTTATTCTGAGCAGTTGGTTCCTCACTGTGGGCCATAGAGATTTCTGACTGGTCTGTCTTTGTGCTGGTATCGGCCAACTCCTCTTCAGCTGAGGCAGAGGCATGCAGCTCCTCCAGGTGGAGGGTGGGGTTGGTCATTTGCTCTGCGTCTTGTTGAGAGTCTGGCACACTGCTGTCTTTGGGAAGCTGAGGGCAGTTGACAGGAGCTATCACCACAGGAGGCTGAGGTAGGTCTTTCTGTAAATGGAAGATCACAGTCAAAATTATGGGAAACAAGAACCATTGTGTCCAGTTATCCAAGGTAATGATCATACAAGATGAAGATTAAAAGTCCATCAACTCAGTTATCATTCTCCAGCAGCAGACAGTTGCATACAGTTATCCTTTCTTTGTGTTTTATAGGACCCAGGGGAATTTTTCCTTCCAGAATAAGTGTTTGCTTTCAGAGTGATTGTTCCTCACCAGTTTCAGAAGTGCTCTGCTGATAAGGCAGCAACAGGCATTTGGTCTTTGGCCACTGTCCAGTTCTGCCCACCTTTACTATGACTATACAAGAACTGGTAACTTTTACATAACATTTCAGATGATCTCAAATATTTCTCTAACAATTAAATTCATTTCTCTAGTGGAAGCTTGTGAAAGTTATCACAAATAGTTGAAAAATACAATAAACCTCACTGGGGGAACCTCCAGCTTCATAGATTTGGCCTTCTAATAAGTACTCATAAACTAAAATCAGGCATGAGAGAAATTATTACTTTTTGAATCAAGTTAATTTCACTTGCAGCACAGTGAAACAAAGTGTTTACAATACAATTTCCACCTTCATAAACAATATCCTATGAAAGAATATGAAGAAAGTATTTTAAGGGTATATTTTATGTAGTATTAAACCCTACATTTTATATAATATTGTAACCTCTTACTACTACTGATACTTTCAAGAGAGACCAAACAAGTAACATTTTGGCAGAATCAAAGATAGACAAGGTCTACTTTATTTTTCACTACTCTGATTTAAGTGGCCATAAACATTGCAAAAACCAGAAAACCTGACTGAGGCAAAAAAAGTATGTAAAAAAGCAAACAAGCAAGCAAAACAAAAATCTTTGTGTTTGTGCGATAATACTGCAATATTTTACTCAACTTTAATTCTAGTTAGGTTTTTATAATATTAGTATTTCCTGAAGACACTCATATCAAACTGGTATTCACCGCAAAGCCGCTGCCCGTCCAGAACATGGCAAGCTCCCTTCTCCAGAGGGCCACCACGAAGCTGGTGAGGAGAGTACAGGGCACCAGGTAGAGGAGAGCAGGCTGGCCCATCTGCATCAGTGCCAAGGCAACAAAGGTCACAAGAAGGCCTATGCCATATGCTGGAAGAAAACAAACCCAGCAAAACACAGTTATTCAGATACAGCTTTGCTCAAGCACACCTAAATAATTGGCTAAAAGAGCATTCTCACTAGAATTTTTTTTCAAGCAATATGTAAAACATCTCCAGAAGTTTTTCAGGCCTCTTTAGCATTATTTACACCATGTAAACATGGAATACTACAGTTTTGCTATTGATAACATGTGAAAGCAGTGTGATTGGCTTAGTCCATACTGTGCAATTACATAATTACCTTAAGCAAAATAAATATATGAAATATTTTGTATCATATTATATTTATGAACTCAGCAGACACAGACAAATATTTTGACCATTATAATGTGCTTCTTGTTTAGGTTGGCTTTAGCTGTTTCTTCCTATCCTGCCAACACAGCTAAAAAAAAAGCCAGCCAGCTCTAGGTTATATGTTTTTATTACTTTCTATTTAATTTTTGTGGCAAAATTTATTTAGTAGAACACAAGTAGCTTGGATCTCAAAATGTAATTATTTTCAATTACATTTTCAAGACAATGAAGTTAATCCAACTTTTTCTTCCAATCCAGATTCTATTTTTTCTTCAGAAGGTCACGAAAGACATTGAGGGGCTGTTCAGAGAAGGGAAAGGAGCTGGGAAAGGGGCTCAGCCCGGAGAAAAGGAGGCTCACAGGGAACTTCCTCACTCTCCACAACCCCCTGACAGGAGATTACAGCCAGGTGGGCTCCCAGGGAACAAGAGACAGGATGAGAGGAAATGGCTTCAAGTTCTGCCAGGGAGATTTAGATAGGATATTAAGCAGAACTTCCTCCCCAGAAAGGTTTTCCAGTCCTGGCACAGCTGCCCAGAGCAGAGATGGGAGTACCTATCTCTGCAGGGATTTAACAAATGTATGGATTTGGCATCGTCCAAATCTGGATTTGGATTTGGATATGATTAGAGGTGGGCTTGGCAGTGCTGGGGACTGGCTGGACTTGATGATCTCAGATGGCTGTGATTAGAATGATCAGTAACTCCTTACAACCCTTAAAAATGGTTTTTGGGCAGGAGCAAATTCTGTTATTATTGAGAGATCCTTATATCTAGCTAAAATGTTTCTTATGATGATTTAAGACCATTGCCTCACATCTTATGTGCACACCTGTAAGAAAAGTCTCTCTGTCCTCTCTACAGTCTCCCATTAGGCAGCTGTGGGCAGCAACAGAATCTCCTCTTTGCCTTCTCTTCTTTTTACAACCCTGTGCTCTGGTCTTTGTCCATCCTGACAGTCTCCACTGGATTTACTCCAGTATGTCAATGTCTGTCTGGCACCAAGGATCCTGGTTTACTCAGTCTTAAGTGACAGATTGAGAGGAATAATCACTCGTCTCATAACTGCTGACTCCATCTTGCTAACTCAGCCCTGTATGTGGCTCATTCTCAGTGCTGCAATAGTATACTCCTGACTCTTTATCAATGCAACATTTTCCTATTTCTGCAAACATTTTTAAAGTATCAGATAAGACAACAATTTTGTTTTACTAGATATGAGAGACAATTATTTGGAACATCAATAAAAGCATCTCTCTACCCTGCTAGAAGTGTCCATGAACCTAGGTATTTTTTCAAAGGAAGTTGTTAATGACAATTTCTCAGTAAATTCACTGCAAGCATTAGAAGTCTTTACTAGAAAAAGTACAATGAAAGAAAAAGACAACAGGAATCTGTCAGATCCTATTAATCAGTAGTACTTAAGTTCATGGCACATAACTCTGTGGATTTTACAGACTAAAGAAAAAAAAACTTATCTAGAGGTGTTATAATCATAAGAAAATTCCCTGCATCATAGGTTATGGATTTTTAGAATACACAAGAAATTAAGAACAAAGTCAAAGGATGATATCCCTTGTAAGAACTTGAATTCTCATGCACAATCAACTCAAAGGTTCATGAATCAAGAAACTACAGTGAGTAGCTGAGCATATGTAAAGAAAGTGTAATTACAAGGGGTTGACTGAGACCCTTGGCAGCCATGGTAACAAAAGCTCCCCTTACGCAAAGCAGGCAAAACAGCTCAGAAAAGCAGTATCAGCTAGTTTGGTGATGGAAGATCTAGACTTGAAAGCACTTTGCTAAATATTTCTGTTTAATAATAAAAGGAAGAACAGGAGAAAACACACAAACTATGCCATGCAAGACTGACAACACGCTTTTAGATTGAGCCACTCCTATAGGTCTTGTGTTCAGGTGACACTGTGGTACATACCTATTGTGCAGGCTACAAAATAGACTCTGGATGACTGCACCTGAATATCAAATCTATGGCAATAGGCTACCAGTAAGCCTAGGAAAAGAAAGAACAGTTACAATATGCTTTCAATCTAGTCACGCACCTCACGATAAAAAGAAAGTCATCAAACCAGCTACGAACTTGTGAGAATCTTTTTTTCCCCAAAAAATTTCCTTGGCATCCGGTGTTTAAGCACCATGACAACATATCCAGGAGGCTGCACAATTTACAAACCAGTTATCTGATGGTACTAGCCCCATGTATTGGAAGCACTCCAAAAGCAAAACACACAGCTACAAATATGCAGATCGTAGATAAAAATGTCATCCCATCCCTACTAACTAAACATTTTAAAAAATACAGTGTTCACAACAAGAGCAAGAGTAAATTCAGCCCTTTGAGATGGTACTGAAGACAGTAGAATTTTATGGTTAATGACTATACCTGTTTCAGGTTGGGGGGGAGGAGGGGAGACTAGTGGGGATGACAGAGTTCATATTTCCCAAAATACAAGAAATTAAAGAAATTACTTTGCAGAAGAAATCTGAAAGCCAGAAGGTTCATAATTTTTTCACCTGCAGTGATGACAGGGATAGTTCTACATACTATCTAAAATCATATTTGAGAGACGGTGTGGCAGACAGACTCCCTGTGACTAACAGGAAGGTTTGAGTGGTCAGGAATCTGTACTTAAACCGTGTGCAAAGACAAATAATTTCCTCTATCACCACACTACCAAAGATGCTTTATAGCATAGAATCAGTTGCTAAATCTACTCCTTCAATTTTTCTACATTTCTTGACATCACTGCATGTGAAACGGAACCATAAGATTAATGCACATTTTTCTTGCACACATTAATCTTATGGTGAACAGTGCACAAAAAAACCTATACTCAAAAATTTATCAGGTTTATAGTAGTCAAATCAAATCTATCACTTGAAGCAGGAGTAGAAGAGGAATGAACTAATATGACAATGCAGCATGTAAAATTCTTAACATGCTGAACAATACCTGGAACTAAAATGTCTCCAAATCCTAGAAGAGAAAAAGGTCTGTCACATAGAGCCAATGGTGAGGAATTCAGTCGTGGAACCTTCAGGACCATTGGGAGCTTGAAATGAGAGAGACACATGTCTGATGAAAAGCACAGTCACACTACCTACCAAAATTTGTTCCTGTTGTACTCAAAGTGCAAGTTTCAAATACATCAAATGTATCTTTTTATACATTCATTACACACAATATTACTGACAACTAACAAAATGCATTTAAGATGGGAGTGATTAAATACTTTCTAAATACTATGTTAACTACAAAGTCTTCACATACAATTGGGTATCAATTCTGCTTTAGCTGCAGGTATGTACAAAATTTAGGCAAGCTGCTACATGAATAAGAAATAATAACTTATACAATTCATTTAGCAATATAAGTCTCAAAAGATCAAGACATGAAAAATTTCAAAAAAAGTCATTTTTCAAATCACTTTAAAGACTCTTCCCTGTCCCCTGTGTTCCTATTTATTACTATCCTATAAATTCCAATGTGAGGCACAGTATGCCACAGTCCATTGCAAACCTGTATTTTCTTTATTATAGTACATTAAAGAAACTGTATTTGCTTTTTTCTTTTCTTATATTAGTGCCAAAATAATTTTATATACTTATACTTTCATTACTGTTTTATACAATTAATTCTGTGCCTAAAGTTGAATTCAAAGGGGTACTTAAAGGGGTACAGGAGAGAAGAACAAAAGAAGTCAAAGAAATTAGTAGGGACTGTATGGATTGATCCTCATCCTGCAAACAATTACTTTCTTTGCTGTTTTCTCACATGACACTATTACATTCATTGCCGAAAAAGATCAAATTAATCCTTAAATAAAAAAGGTTTTCCTACAGATTAGTTTTTTTGTTTTGTTCACTATATCTCACTGTCTCCTACATCTCACATACTTTCCTCCCTGAGTCAGCCACATCTTGTAAGGTGTTCATGCAACTGGCTGCTGTCCAACGGTGAAAACCCACTGAACACTGACTTCTGTTTTCTTCTGCCTCCAGTTTGTGTTTCTCTCCTTTCCCTATAGCTTCAGCTTTTCTTAAAGCAAATATCAAAAAAGGGAAGGAGGGGGAAGAGACAGACTGATTATATGTTTTACCTCTTTAGGAAAAGATGCTCATGCTCATTTAACAGCAAGTTACTATTTACAGATGCGGTCATGTTTTTGTGAAGCTGAGCTAATCAGCTTTCTTATATTGAAACCCTGTCAAAAAAAAGATAAAGGGAAACCAAAGCTGGTGTGATGAACCACTACAAGTCTGCTTTGCCCCTCCAGAATAAACATTCAGGAGCATTTATTCCCACATTAAGTTCTTTTCAGACTGGCATCTTCATTTGAGCTTTGTGATCTTGAATTTTAGAGAAGTTAAAAGCATAATAGTTGAAAGCTAGTGCTGGATTTTCAGACAACATAGAGTACCTTTTCATGAGTGGCAGAATCAGATGGGCCTGCAGCCACCTCCACCATTATACTCTCCCCAGTCTAAAGAAAAAAATGGGAAAATTGTACATCAGCACTTCCCTCAGCAGCTCTGGGATGCTTTAGGAACACACAGAGAAACAAGTCATTACACTTTGCTCTGTGGACAGCAGGGAATAGAGAAGCACCTTACTTACCTTTGTTAGAAAAGGTGTGATAAATACAAAGAATATATCATACACAAAAAGAACCAGGAGGAGTAAGGTACAACCCTGAAGGAAGAGACAAGATATTTGGTATTTACACACAATGCATTAGCAAATAGCAAAGAATTAATAATTAGAAGGCTATTCAAAGAAAAAGCTTGCAAAAACTAATACAAGTCATTCATGTATTTTTCTTAATTCCTAAATATTTTAGATAGAGGAATAGGATCTTGCATGTATCCTATAAAATAAAGTAATTCTTAAACACAAAATTACATGTTATTGCCCAAAATTCTTTCTGATGTAAAATCTGGAAATGGTGCCAATTCAATTTGCTGGGAAATATGAAGAAGCTCTGCACTGAAATACACCAGGCACAGCTTGAAACACTATACACTCATTTACTGTCAGTCTATACAAACTTATAGGTGAAGGTAATTTGAAACAAGAGTTTGAAGAGCTGCTTAAGGGGCAACTAAATAACTAATAATGATTTTTGTCTTAAGATACTGACTAAGGTCAGAAAGATTTGAAAAAAACATTAGACTGACGCATTAGTTGTATGTCAATTTGAAAAACAAAATCAAAACAATCAAAATAAAACAAATAAAACTCCCCCAACAACAAAATACTCAAATACCAAATACATATATAAAGGGGTGGTGTGTGATTTACTAGTCAACACTCTACAGAACAAATCACATGCCACTTCTGGGTCTCCATTATACTCATTGCATCCCTTTTTTCCATGCTACATATGAATGGAAGTGCATTTCAGAGACAATATACTCCATTATAAGTGACTCCTCTGTTCAAACACATACATGCAAACCTCTTTAACTTTCTTCTGAAAGTCTATAACTTCTGTTTAACTTTCATACCTTAAATGTAGGCAGGCGAATTGTTTTCAACATGTAAAGACAGAAAGCAATTCCTAAAGCATCTTGCAGAACCCAGGCCCACCTTAAAAACAAAAGTAATGTTTTTGCAGGAAACAGCAGGAAAAGCAGACCAAGCCTTGTCCTCACTAAGGACCTGCTTGGGACAAATAAAAACCCCCTTTTATTCAAAGTACTTGCTTGAAATTGACATTGTTGTCAGCATGAGTTTGCAAATGGGAAGTTGTTTTTCATCAACCTGATAACCTTCCACAAAGAAGTGCTTGGGAGATGAGGGAAGACCTGGTGATAGTGTCTATCTAGACTTCAGTAAGGCTTTCCACTGACAACCTTCCATAAAATCTTCACAGAGAAACTGATGAAGTACAAGCTGAACAAGCAATGAGGCAGATGAAAACTGGCTGAATGAGGTTAGTGGATACCAAAACAGGAAGTCCTGGGGTCTTTTGTCCTGTGCATAGGGGTGAATCCTTGTGTGCTGAGGCAAATTTTCAGCTGGGCCTGTTTTTCAACTGTGTTTTGCAAGTTGAGTATAGAAGTGCTCTTTGCTTTGCTCTCAACTGCCAAGGTCAAAGAGAAGTAGGATCTGAGATAAACAACACTAAGGTTTCCCAAAAATTGCTACAATGAGAGCTAGTGCTGTGTACTTGCTGATGGAGCTCTGTGCAGGAGACACTCAGACACTCAGGCTCACTTCAGCTCTGAGGCAGAAAATGGATTTCCTAGTCATAAATATTTTGGAACATCTCTATAGTACTGCTCTACTCCTCAGTCTGACACTTATCTCTCTAAACGGTCTTTCAGAGTTGATGACTCCTGGATTTGAATTCTGTCATTGAATGATCCACACAGATCACAGACCCCACAAAAGCACAAATCAGACATCTTTGATATCATCATCAGAAACACATGCTAGCATTTCAGTTCCAATACTGAAATATTGTTACAATAGAGGAACTAAGAAGATGAACACAACCTGTATACATAGGAAAACTGCAATATCTGAGAGTGAGGTAAGAGGAAAAAATCCCAAAGGAAAACAAAAACACAGCACTCTGTAAAAGATCCACCTCTAACACAAGTGGTACGAACCTGCTACAATTAGGTACTACAGCAACACTGGATGTAGAGAATTACTGACTTGTACAAGAAAGCTGAGAGAAAGGAAAGATCTGACAATCTTACCAGTTCTTATTCTCATGAAGAAACGAGTTAGACAACTTGTGTCCAACTTTCCATATCACTTCTGAAAAGATGTCTTAAAGTGATCAGAATACTGACTGGGACTCAGAGAAAATCAAGCTTAACAAGAGACAGTTTTCTGTAATTTAAATGAACAAGAAAAAGATGAAGTACATAAGGAACAACTAAGAATTTCTGCATGTCTCTATTTTTTTTCCTGTCATTCCTAATTTCTGGATACATGTAGACTTCTGTGGATGTCAGTTACTTATATGATAAAGTGTATTACAATTTTTAGCACAGAAAATTTTTTTAGCACAGATCACTTACTGATCTTCATTTCTGAAGATTCCCCAGACTACACTGACGGAGATACAAAATACTGCCAAGAGCAACATCCGGATCTGGGGACGCTTGTGAAAATATGGCAAGTTGTTGTCTGGAATTCTGAAAAAGAATCACACCAAAGCTACAGTTGTCTGTGTATACAGCCTCTTCCCTTATCAACATTTTGAAGCATGAAACCACCTTTTAAACCCCACACCTACTAAACAGTATAAAAAAACTAAGTTTCCCTATTAAAATTTTGAAAGTTGCCACATACCTACACTTTCCCAAGGGGAATCTTCTTACAAAGGGAGACAGACAGCTGTAAAGACCAATGGAGGCAGCCAGGCAGAATATTCCTATTATAACATAGACTGAGGGGAAAAAAGTATTAAGTACAAGTAGGATAAGGCAAGAAATGCTTTTTTCATATCCTGGCTGAATAAAGAACATTCAATAAGACTAAATGAGAAATAAGGTTTGCATTTCAACAGTGAAAGATAAATTCAGAGACTTCAGATGATTGATTAGATTTGTGCTCTTTAAGTATCTAATTCTAGCTCCTTTTACTCAGGTGTACTTTATGCAATACCTACTTAAAGAAATCAAAACCTCTATCCTAATGTTCTTAAAGTAAGTCATAAGCCTCAAAGGCAACCTATGGTGAAGCATTTATCTTCTTTTCATGAGTAAACAGGAGCATTTTAAGGGACTATTAAAGTCACTAAGTAGCAAAATTAATCAATACAGATGCGAAGCATGTTTCACTACTTCCTCAAAAATACAAAGAAGCATTAGGCTCTAATGTTTTGTCAATCTGGTAAGTAATCAGTAGAAAATTATAATATTTATAAAGATAAAAAAATGATCCTTGATCTTGACTTGAAATTGAACTATAATAGAGAGAAGAAGTGGTCTGAGAACACATTTAACAAAAATAAAAGTTGGAAAATACTAAGTCTGTATTTGCTTAAGAGGCTTTAATGTTTGAAAGAAACTTTATGATCAACCTCACAAAAAGGATTAGAAATCTACTCAGTGAGTTTTCTTACATTTTAAAACATATTGGGATGAACACACATGACAGAAGAGAGATGTTTCATTATTATTTTCACAATTAAGTGTTCTTTGAATGATGTCAGCCTTATGATATTAAAGATGTATCAATACAAATACAACCTTAAGAGTACCTAAGTGGTCATAGAAGAAATAAAGGAGGACGAGCATTGAGCAGCACATCACTACAAACACACAGATCATTATGGGAGTCACATCCACTGTTTCATCATCATGTTTCTCTGCCCCATCATCACGCTTGTGCTTCATGTACCTCCTGAAAGAGTAACACGGCTACAATTAGTTCATTCCTTCTGCAACAAAATACACAAGGACACTGAATCTTCAGCAAAAAACCACAAGGGGTTGAAACAACACCAATGCCTGCTTTGATTCCTACTCAAGTCAGTGGGACACCATTTTTCCATGGAGGTATGAACATCAGCTGTAACACAATGCATAAACCAGTAACTGCTGTGTTAACTTATCTAGAGGACTATTTCATTTGGAAAAAACTCGAATGAATCCTGAAAGTAACACAGAGTAGTTAACTTCAGAAGAAATCCTTGAATCAAGTTGTGTATACAAAATACATATTAGAAATTAGTGTGGCACAATGACCTTCTCCCAATCCCTCTTGCTGGCAAAAAGTAACCATAAAATTTCATTTAAAAATTGCTAACAAAGATAGCATATGTTAGGCATCCAATCAATTTGGTTTGCCTTATACCAGTAAAAGCAAATTTATTTTTTTTACGAAGTATTTATGTGGTGAATTTTTGCAAAAGAGAAGTCTATTACTTAATAATTTTATTTCTGAGCTTTTCAAATGTTTGGTCTTTTAACATGGCAAAATCCTAAAAAAATCTACATGCAATTTATACTCTAATGATTTCCTACAATGACCAAACCAATGCAAGGTTCAGGGCTTTTCAAACATCACACCAGCATTTTCCCTAGAGTCTCCTAACGTCACTAGCAGAGCTGCCAGGTAATGCTTACATAAACACCATCTATTTTTTGTTCTGTGAAAAATACAGAAAAACTGGTATACTGCATTTAGTGACTCACTTTTTCACATCTCTGCTTCCTGCCCAGTAGCCTCCAATTGCAACAGTTCCCACAGCCATGACAAAGATAATCACCATGTTGTAGTCCAGCACAGGTTCATTTGGTGCGTACATTGCTCCTTTCACTGAGCTGCCAAAACTCTGTGGAAGTAAATAACTGTTAGGAAGGACATCCAAAAAGACACCTTAGCAAAGGTTCACTTACTTAATTTTCATTAAGTAACCTCAGAATCAGGCTTTATTATAAACACATAAGAGCCATCTACTGGCTCTTCTATTAGTAATATTTATTTCCAGCACCAGGCTGTATTTTGATTTTATTATAAAGATGAGAAATAACCTCCCAAGAGACTTTTTTTTCCAAAACACAACAATGCAATCTTCATGAATACACTCTCTACATAGTCAAAGCTCTTAAGATAGACTTAATACTGTTGAGCAGTAACTCATTTACATGAGATAATATAAATGAGAGCTTTTAGTATCGAGTTTACCTTGCCGATATCTAACATATCAGTATAGCTAAGCAGAGCCACAGGAATATCAATCTCTTCATACTGACTCCTATTACCTCCAGGAGGAACCTGAAAGACAGTTCAGACCAGGTAAGAATATGTTTATTTCTGCAAATACTTCTACTCCTTGAAAAAGGTTAAAGTTGCAAAGTCTGTTCTGGCTAATTTGAAAAATATTCTAGAAGGGAACTTAATGACAGCAAACACTCAAAAGTAAAAATATATGCCTTTCCCAGTAAAACAGAAGTAATACAAGACTGTAATGGCAAAATGAAGCAACCAAATTTCAAGCAGTATCTTTTGCACATCAGGGTCACGGGTTTATGACTGATGTGTGCCTCTAGTATTGACCAGGACTCAAACCTACTAATTTTGTTTTTAAAACTACTAATTTTACAAAATATATGCTGTTGCTGCTCCAGCTGTATCTAAAGCACTGGATTCAGTATGGGAGTATGATGGAGTCACAAACCAACCACATTCTTTGACTCCAGTATTTCATTTGGAACAAGAGTAATCCTGAACCCTTGACCTGAATTTCACATGAGCTCTGTGCCAACCCTTCCTACTGAAATGAGGGCCTCTTGTTTCATTCATTCTTCTGTCAGATGTATGGTTTCCACACCTAACTATTCAATCTATGAACATGCAGGAACACACATGCATTATTTACTTTAAAGAGGAACATCAAATACCAGCAATGTGCACCACAGACAAGACAGTATCTAGCATCAGAGGAGTATCAGCAGCATAGGAAGATAAAAAGCAACTTACCAGTCTCTCTCTACTAACAATCAGCAGCCCACGGGCCCCATTTATCTGAGCAAGCCTCACTTTCTCATAGAAGGTGCAATTTCCTCGCATCACCATGGGGATTTGATTATTAAATCCCCCATGAGGTACATCAGAAGGAGAACACAAAACAGATGCTGTCTGATCCTGCAGTTGCAGGAGTGACTGAAAAAAAGAAATTTGTTAAATATACATATATATATATATATAACATAAAATAATAAAAGAAGTCAAGAGCAGAAGCCAGAGCTTCTAAAGAGCAATTTAAAACCTTCCAGTAATGGAAGCAAAATGAAATTCTCAGAGCAAAATGAAAGCTGAAACAGTGCTGCCTTCTCTATTATGTAGGGACTTGCCTTGTTTCCCCTTATCGTACAGAATTCAGCTGGTAATAAAATTTGGGATACAGATATGTATATATACGCCTTAACTTGCATTTATTTCCTTCAGCATTGTTGCTGTTCTGATGTACACAGCCAGGATGTGGGAGGAGACAGCAAGGTTTTATCTTTGCTGGGGTAGCAGAGTGGCAGGCTGGGATGATGGAGGGTATGAACAGCTAGAAACCAAAACACAGGCTGGGGAAAAGTACAGAAGTATAGGCAATAAAATTCCATCTTGAAACCAACTGTATCCAGTGACCTGAGATTTTTGCATCCCAAGTACTTGAATACTGGATTCTAAGCTACTTCTCTCAGCACTTGTGATCCAGAGATAGTGCAAGTCCGTCCCAATTCCTTAGTTTTGGCCCTCTTCAGACCCAAAGGCATCTAATCTGGTGTGCTTCAAAAACACTTCAAAGGTTCTAGAAATAACACTGGCACAAATTGTTCCTTGCAAAATCTAAACAACCACCAGCATCTTTACCCAGTTCTATTTGTAAGTTACCTGAAAACTGCAATTATCTACCAAACAACCAAGCTGTGCTAAGAGAAGCAGGTCTCAGCCCTTGCTGAAGTGAGCTGTCAGATTTGAGAAGAGTCAAGGTAAAGTTTTAACCTGAAAAAATGGAAGTTTGTATTAGAAATCCACAGGTACACAACATACAATACCTGTGTAAGGAGTCTACAGTTTTAGGAGGCAAAGGGAAGTGTCAGGCTGTCAGTAGCTTCCACCTTATTCAGAAAACTGCTGTCTCCAGCCTGACCTCTAGAGACAGTGAAATGCTCCAATCCACTTATTGGTTATCCAAATTTCAGAACACAACACAAATGCAGAGTGAGCTCAGAGTGGTGCACTGCATCACCTCAGTTAATGAACTGTACTGCTGGAGTACTGAAGGAGGAGGAGCAAGAATGTGAAAGAAGGGAAAAGCAGGAAAGAACCAAGGAAAGAGACAGGGACAGGCAAGGGATGTAGCATATACTATCCAAGTGCCTGTGCAAGCTAATCTGGACTGTACTGTCTCCTGCAGAGCTACTGAGATATGACTCTAGTGAATTTTTATGAGACTGATTTAAATGAGGTATCTACAGTACAGTCCCCAACTCTCACAAGTACCACAGTCAGTCATGCATGTGCTGATTCACATTACACAGTCAGGGCAAGTGCAAGAGTTTATCAGCTGAGTCTATACAAGGCAAAGACAACTACAAATGTATCTAGGGACTAATCTACAGGTGCAATAAACCCATCAGAAGTAACTGAGACTTGCCATTGGTAAGGGACTCTAATAATTCTGTGGGGCTCATTCAAAATGAATTTGCTAATTTCATCATTCAGTACCAGTAACTTTGTCTCACAGAAAAGACTGAAGAATTTACTCAATTTTCAGCTCATACAGCTTTGGATAATGCAGCAAAAGCTTGACATAGTTTATGACTACCTAATGTTACACTTGACACTGAGAAAGCACTAAAGGCCACAGTTCACTATATAAGAAAAGCTACGTGGTATCTTTTTGTACCATGCTGATGTACAAAAGCTCCTTTGCAAGCCCAGGTATGTGTCATTTTAATTTCATTGATCACACCATTGAAAATGAGTATTTTTGTTTCGAACAGCAATAGTCATTATCTCTGCACAATGCCTGGAAATTATTGCCATCCTAGCACTGCCTAGTGATCTTAAGAGAAAAAATATTTTCTAAGCAGAGCAAACAAAGAAGTTGCTTCAAATTCTACTAATCCAACTAAGAAATCATAATTTTCCTTGTAACAAAGGCATTTTTATATATTTTTTGTCATCAGTTAGCTAGGTACTTACAGCTTTACCCAGATCATGTGGCAAATGGGCCCACTGAGAGTTGAAGAGAATACAGTAGTCTTTTCCTTTGCTGCTCCCCTTCTCTGAAAGGACATGTACCATCCCATACTCACAGTATACCTGAAAATGTAACAAAAATTTCAGAAGAATTTTAGGTTACATAGAATATCAGAAGTGAAGGGACTAACTTGCTGTTGATTGGCTTGCTTTGTATTTTTAAAGAAAACCAAAGGAGTTCACAAAGTTTCCATATCTGTGCCGGGAGTACAGTGGAATTTGTTATTATTTCCATCATGCTTCAAATAAAGACTTCAGATACATTAGGCAGATTCCCTCCTACACAGAAATTGGCCAAAGAATCAAATGAAATAATATTGGTGTGTTAAAAGAAAAAAAGACCAAACCCAACAAATCAAAAAGCCAACCTCAAACAACACTGGTGCACATATGTATTTAACCACAGCAAGGGAAAGAAGCTGCATGAATGCAGAACACATATGAGCCTTGGAGTACTCTGTTCAGCTCTGGGGTTCCCAGCATCAGGAGGACGTGGAGCTGCTGGAGCCAGAGGAGGCCACGGAGATGCTGCAAGGGCTGGAGCCCCTCTGCTCTGGAGCCAGGCTGGGAGAGCTGGGGGTGCTCCCCTGGAGAGGAGAAGCTCCAGGGAGAGCTCAGAGCCCCTGGCAGGGCCTGAAGGGGCTCCAGGAGAGCTGGAGAGGGACTGGGGACAAGGCCTGGAGGGACAGGACACAGGGAATGGCTCCCACTGCCAGAGGGCAGGGCTGGATGGGAGATTGGGCAGGAATTGTTCCTGGCAGGGTGGGCAGGCCCTGGCACAGGGTGCCCAGAGCAGTGGGTTGCCCCATCTCTGGAAGTGTTCAAGGCCAGGCTGGATGTGGCTTTGAACAGCCTGGCCTAGCCAACCCCGTGTCAGGGGCCTGGAACTAGGTGATCTCTAAGGTCCCTTCCCAGTCAAACCATTTCATGATTTTATGAATAAGACACTGTGGTGTTGCATTTTAGTTAAATGGTATGCTCTGTCTCACCCCTCAAAACTCTATGCTTTATTCCAAGCCTGTAATCCTCCCCTGAAGTATCCTGTGTCTGTAATCCCATTGGCCCGAACCTTATCCGCGCCCACTTGGAATATCCCTGTTTAGTGTGCTGGTGGGACGAGGCTCTCTCAGCTTCTCTCCTGGCCAGTGCTCTCTCGGCCCCTCTCTCCCCCTCCCCTTTCCCCTTCCCTCCCTCAGAAACCATGCTGCTTCCCGGGGGTAGGACCCCCAAAAAACTCTCATCTAATCAGCACCCTCAGAAACCGTGTGGAATCTTCTTGCCTGCCTGCTGCTACCAGCGAACTCACAGCTCCGCAACAAGACACCAACTCCTGAAAGTACAGCCTGAAGTAATGATCAATTCTAGATGTGCATTCACTCCAAAACTCAACCTTGGACACCTTTGCTGAAGATGTAGCAAGGACCCACAGAAGCAGCAGCTCTTTTTCTGTCCTAGGTAGAACATGCAAATCTACCTACTGCATTTACCTATCACTGCTCAAATGACCAGTTGTCACTATTGTCAAAACTCCAACAACGTAAGTAGTGAAGATTACCTATATAATATTTATAATTAAAGGCCTGTCCTGGGTCTGGCCAGGATGCAGTTAGTTTTCTTTATAGCAGCTGATGGTGCAGTGTTTTATTTTTGTGCCCAAAACAATGCTGATAACAAACTAATGTTTTAGCTATTTCTGAACAGTGTGCAGAGTGTCAAAGCGTTGTCTGTTTCTCATCCTGTTCAACCCATGAATAGATGTCCAAGAGGTTTAGACGGGGTCACAACCAGGCAGATGATTCAACAAAGAGATATTCCATACCCGTAGCATATCATGCTCATTTTTATAAGGAGGTTACCTATCTTTTGTATCATGTGCATGTTACAATTCTCCTGAAGAACTCATGGAAACTGAGATAACAGAACCCAGATCCCTTAGTAACACAGAGAAAGAGAACAAGAACTACAGCAAAAAAAAAAAAAAAAAAAAATAGTAATATGCAGCAAATCTACCAGTTTTAGACATCTCAGTTGTGATACACAGTATGTAACTTGCTTATTTAGTGAACTGCTCACACTACATCTAACTGCAAGATGTGCTGATTTTAGCACAGATATTTTCAGCTTCCCATCCCTGCAAAAAAATACACAGCAAACACAGTATTTTCCTCATTATTTTAGTTAGGTCAGAGTGTACTCAACCATTTCCCAGCAAAACTGGAATATCACAAGTAGGTACTAGCAAACACTTCCTTAACACAGACATTTTCACAAATCTTATTCTTCATGATGAATTCTGCTCTTTTAAACATCTACTCCTATCATTCCCTTCCCTGTGTATAGTAACAATTTCGTGAGTACTAGGTATATTCCTCATCTTCCACCCAAAAAGCTGAACCAAATTCACCTACAAGAGTATATACATGCATATATATATATACACACACACACATATATATATATATATATACACACACACATCCATACATAAGTATGAGTATACATAACCTGCAAAATAAAGTACTTTTGTGGTGTTGATGCAGCTGTCTGTTTGTACCCCAAGTCATAATACATATTTACCCAGGGAATCAGAAAGTAGGAAGGCAAACCAAACAACAGTGGAAGTACATACAACTCCCCTATCACTAGTGATGGTTTCCTTTAATTAGTGGTGACTTCATTCTTGTATTAATTGAGTCAAAATAATTGTAAATCCTCCCTGATCTTGGAAATGGTTGAAGAAACACGAAGTATATAATGAGGTCTCTTTATACTGTTCTAAGGATGCTAAAATAACCCTCCTGGCCATTTCTAAGTGGCAAACAGGTCCCTTGCAATGCTTCTCTCTCTGACAAGAGCTTCTTGTTCTTGCTTGAACAAGAAGGCATCAGAGCATCATCACTTCAACAACCAGCCATCAAATTCTACAGGACACTTGCTCCTCAGGGCAGCAACACTGGGATTGCAGGCTCTGTCTTGGGAGGACTGTCAGGCACCATCTCCACTCATTGAAAAAGTTAAGAAGTAAGTTTTTAAGAAAAAGTCTTTCCTTTGTACAATATATTGAACATCAGCTCCTCAGTGTGAAGTTTGCTCATATACATTCTGTGACCATCTAGTAAGGTTTGAACATCAACACATTAATAATTCAATTCCGGATTAAGATCTGACCAGCAGCTGCAAAAAGATTTTAATGCTTCACATAAAAATACATTAAGATACAAATGTAGTGCTCAGAATGCAGGACAAAATCTATCTTTTAAAATGTAATTCTATTATACAAATCCAGATCAATGCTTATTTTTGAAGGAGAGTCTTGCTGATCTTCAGTTGCTGCTTTAGAACCTCACAGTGCTCTTACAGAGCAATTTCAATGTTCAAGTAGTGCTGTCTGGTAATAGATTATAAAAGGATGATTCTGAGATCAAATGCAAATCATATCTGTATTTTGGCTTCATACAAGCTATTAGATAGTCAGGGAAAAGTTGACCGCATATATTAAATGTAGCAGTCTCAAAATACTATTTCAGCCCATGATTTGGAAATCCAGTCCTTAGGAATACCACATACTGTTAATGTGACTGGATTCTTCCTAGTATCATTTTTTCCCAGAGCATTTGTTTCCTATTGTAAAGGGAAGTTTCTCCATTTTATTGAGAACGTTCGCTAATCCTTACTGGCACTTAGCACTTGGAAGTTGCAAAAAAACCAAAACCCACCAACCAAAATCCCCTCACACCAAAGAAGCAAGCCCCCTACCCTCACAACCATCTTACCTTTCTACCATCCCCCTTTGTGTCATACTCCTCTCTACCCACACATCCAGCTCCTTCCTTTCCATTCTTCCTTCTCTCTTTTGTCCAGCACCCAAGCAAAATTGAAGTAATTGACTGAAGATATGTTTAACTGGTCTATTGCTCTGCTTCAGCCTTCCCCAAGGAAATCACTAGTGCCTACCAGAACTGATTAAAGTTTGTTCTGGAGAGAAATATAACATCATATCCCTAACCATCGCTGCTACTAATTAGAACATTGTGGCAGACTAATTTGTCAATATTCATAATCTGAACACACCAATGATTTGATAATTATGCAGTTACACTCTCACAAATACACGTCATACATCTGTTTCTTCATATAGCAGCTGAGGAACAGGATGCTAAAGATGACTGGAGTCAGCAACAATGTCATATCTTAACCTGCTTGTTCAAAAATCCATTAAAAGAATTCATCACACTTATTTCTCCCTCTTTATTTCAAACCCTACTACACAGAAGTTACCATGCACCCCTAGGAGACAGAGTAAAAGACGTTTTTAGAAAAACTTCTGAAAATCACAGACTGGTTTAGGTTGGAAGGGACCCTTAAAGGTCACCTTGTCCAAACCCCTGGCAATGGGCTGGGAAATCTTCAAGTATACCAAACCCTGTTCAACCTGGCCTTGAACTTTTTCAGGGATGGGGTACCCACCTCCTCTCTGGACACAGTGAGTTGTGTGTTCTACCAGTGTTTTACCCTGTGACAGTGTTTTACCACTTGCATTGTAAAATCACTCTTTAACACACACAGTATGCCCAGAGGCAATGATGGCATTCTGCTGCAAGACGTCAGCAACACAGTAAAGAAATATTATTGTAAAAATATACAGGAGGTAGACTTTTAATATAAATATAAGAGAATATAAATTTTTATATTTAGCTCTTTGGCATATAAATGGTCTTTGTTAACACATGCAGCAACTTTTTCCTTCTTTTATAACACTAGTGTTAACTAAGTTCTTTAGAACCAATGACATTTGCCCTGAAACATGCTGATATGGGAGGTCACTGATTAGTTCAGTGCAGATTAAAGCCACTTGAGCACAGTGCAAATTTCCAAGATACCTGTGGAGACAGAGAGACACTACTGTGCATACGCTGTGAGGAAACAAGAACTCCAACTCCCTGCTATAGCAGACTTGTTAAATCATATCTCAGGTATCCAACCATAGCACCTAAACTACTTTCAACAGAAACAAGTAATTTAGAAAAGTAACCTGTACTTATTATCTTGAATTTGATTTTGAAGAGTAACAAGCAACAGAGATGCAAATATAGTCACACACGAAAGACAAGAACAAAAGAGTGTTCCATTATACAATTTTGCTTTCTGAGCTATTTAATGGACATTCTTCAAAGAAATATTAAGGGAGTAAAAGGTTCCTAATGTGAAGTGCTCAAAACATTTTAGAAGCTATTTGGGTTTGTGTGCCAAAAGCTAAATGAAATTCAAGCATGAGAGGAATAAAAGGAAATATGAGCAGGGCTAAAAGCAGAAGAGGAAACACAGAATTTAAGAAACACTGTGGAGAACACAATCTGTGGATAATGTGGATTAACAGACATTTTTATAAAGCTATTATCACTTACAAGCAAAGCATAGTTCTGAAGTTTGTTCTTATCCACTTTGATGCATCCAGTTTTGATTTTTATTCATGTCAGTAGGTATGAGACAACAAAAGTTCAAGCAGTGCTGCTGTTGCACTGGCATAGTGGCAACATTTATGATGATTCCTTATTCCTAGAGACCACTTCGTATCCTAGATTAACCCAGGAGAAAATGTCATCTCCTGTGCAGATCCTATACAATGTACCTAAAACCCCAAAGGCTCTTTTCCAAGTGCTTGGATATCAAGTCCAGCCTTTTTCAAACACAGAAAAATAACAGCTGCTGTGAAAATAAGGTATAATATAATACTTGCATCTTGGTCCTGTGGCTTAAAAAGCACACAACAGTGTATAATTAACACAAAAGGAAGTGTTTTCTATAAAGCTGCAAAACTGGAAAAGGTTTTCACACAACAGAAATGTAAAATCTGAGGGCAGAATTTAACAGACAAACGAGCTAATCTAATGTTTGTGGTAATTGAAGGGCATACTTGTTAGCTTTAAATCTCATCAGGGCCTTCCACAGATCAATGCATAAAAGAGAAGAATGCTCCCCAGTTTTTCTGCTGTGCAATTTTTTTAGGTGAATTAATATAGTTCAGAGGCAAGCACTGGACTTGCAAGCTGAATGATAGAAGAAGGAGGAGAGGAAGAATTCAGCCCACCAGTATTTCAAGAAACTTCAGCGTGAGTGACTGAGCCAACTCAGTATCTGTCTCGCTTGTTCATCCCTGCCTCTGACCCCACACTCACGTGGATGTCCTTTTCTGCTTTCAGTAGCTCTATTAACTGACCTGGCCACTCACATCTCGGATATTGGGAGCTGTGTTCCTTGAAGAAGGAATGAATGAGCTATCCTACTCTTACAGTAGGTACCATGTCAGAGTTCCCAGGAGCTGGAGTCATTCTGTCCCATTAACTGCACTGATCCATCTGGAGAAAAGCAACAGCAGGCAGCAAAGCTGCACACAAATAAACACTCCTTCAACAAACACTGTACAGTGCAGAGAGCTACATATTCATAATGCACTAATACCAGAAGACTAAATTATCAGCCACCACCTTAATGCAGAATTTCAGACAGACTTTCAAATTCTTTGGACCCATATCAGAGTGCCCTAATTTAAAATACAAACCCATCACCTCAATTAAACATATTCTTCTGAAAGCTGCTATAGTGAAGGCCAGCTAGATCCAACACATTTGCTGCAGATCATATTACTATGTTCATCACTAATCAAAGGCTCACATATCTGCTGTTGTTACAGGAAACTGGGGGATAACAATGCCTGGAAAGAATGGGAACTTAAATGAAATGTGAGAACTCAAATACCAAAGCAACATCTAAGTGAAGACTGTACTTGGATCTATAAGAACACACCATTCTTAAAGTGTTCCCAGATGAGGACCCAGATTTGGAAGAGCCATGCTTCAGTAGCCAAGCTGATCCTTCTCCCAAAATAAGAAGATAGAAGCAGATGTGGACACTACCTCCTCTTGCCCCAGGGAGAACAAATAAACAAAACATTCCTATTATCCTGTTTCAAGGAGAGAGACAAAGGTATATGCTCATTAAGGAAAGAGTAAGGCACTGAGAATGAGTACAGCTGGCACACAGCAGCTCCTGACAACAGCTGTCAGCTCTGTCCCCCAGAATAACTCCAGCCATCAGTCACAGGGGTACCAAACCAGGACTAGTGCAGCAGAGCACTCTTCTCTGCCTCACACTAAGGAGGATGTACCACTCAAGCCATCCCAACAACTGCAAGCACAAGAGATGCAGAAGTTATGCAAAATACAAGGTAATCAAGCAAATTTTTAAAACACTTGCTTAGCTAACAGAAACATACTGCCAGCACACAGTAAATCCACTTCTCATTGCAGCAGCAGGACTGTTTCAGCACCCTGGCCAGTCTGCCCAAGCTTATTCAAGTACATTAACACTTACACTGCACAAATATACCAAATGTTTACAGACAGGAATGTGCTGCAATGCATGGAGCTGAACGCAAGGCCTCCAAGTACCCACGGCGGACTATCTCACCGCTGTCCTTCTGCACTGCCATATGCTCACCTTCCCCAAACTGATGGATCAAACTGACTGCATGCCAGTCTTTGACTCATTAGTGTTAATTCATTAATTAAATTAACCTTGTTAATTAAAGCTTATTCATTTGTCGGGCCTACACTGCCACTACTAATCCCTGCAAAGTATCAGTGGAGATGACCAAAAGCATGGGGCATGCAAGAGCAAGAGCATAATGAAGATAATGGATGAATAAAGGGGATGATACAGAAATAAAGAAGTTAGCTGACAACCAGACCACTCTGTAACTAAAGATTATTGGCAAGGAAACAGTAAGGAGACAGAGGGAGAAGAAAGAAAAATTAGAGTTCCATGTTACACCAATAATATTCAAGAAGCCATAGTACACTCCAAATTACCTAATAAACAGTCAAGAAGTTTAAATGACACATTAAATGACATTTCAAAATTTTCAGGACACAAACGAATGAACTTAAAGGCAAAAGCTATGCACCATGCAATGCAATTGCTAGAAATCCACTCTCCTGTATCAGGATTAGATGCCTAGTTCTCACACCCTTAAAAATGTATCCACAAAACGAATTAATATTCTAGTAATGACAATACAAGACTCAAGACAGACTACAGAGTCAGGGTCAGCAGAAATCCCTTCTTTTCTGCTGAAAGCTTCCTCACAGGGAGTCTGTCTGTCAGGATAAATCCAGTCGTCACTGAGAGGATCCGGCCCGGGGGCTCGGCTGCGCTCTCCTGCCTAGGGCTGCCTGCGAGGATGCTGGGCTTTGCCCACGGGGGCCCCGAAGTTTTGGGAACTACGAGGAAAACGCTAGTTAATACGGAAAGAGTAAAAAAGTTTCAGAGAAGCCCAGACACACAGATGTATCAATACTGCCAAATCGCGGAGGGCAGGGCCAGCAGACCCATGCGCTCCGCTGCCTTCCTGCGGCCACGGCTCGGCCCCGGCCCGCTGCGGGGCGGCTGCAGCACCTCCGAGCGCCCACGGCCGGCGGCTCCGGGCGCGGACACGCCGCACCGCCCGCCCGGGCCCGGCCGCACCCAGGGCCGCCCCCCGCCCTCAGCCGGCTGCTGCTCGGGGAGCACACAGCCCGGCACAGCCACTGACCTGCGGCAGCAGATGCAGGAGCAGCCAGAGACGGAGCCGGGCCGGCTGCGCCGCCATGCCGGGCCTGCCTCGCCGCCGCCGCTTTGTTCCGACCTGGGCCGGGCCGGACCCTTCCGCACCGGGCACCCAGAGCCCGCCCCGGACGTCCCGCCCCAGCGCCCCGAGCCGCCAACGGGCTCCGGCGGGGCGCGACGTCACTTCTGGCGGTGCCGAATGAAATGGCGAGCGGCGGCGGCGGCGGCGGCGCGGGGAAGATGGCGGTGAGGAGCGGTGCCGGCCCGGCGGCGGTGCCCGCCGTGCACCCACGGCCCGTCCTGCTGCCGCGGGGTCCCGCGGCGGCGAGCTGGGTCCGTGTCTCCGTGGATGGCGCGTTTTAACTGGGCTGCCTGTGCTCTGCCGTAGGATAAGGAGAAGAAGAAGAAGGAGAGTATCTTGGACCTCTCCAAGTACATCGACAAGACCATCCGGGTGAAGTTCCAGGGCGGGCGGGAAGGTGAGCCCAGCGCGTGGCTGCAGCACGGAGCTCTTTTCCCTCAGCCGATGCCTGTCGGCTCTGCCCTCCTGCTCACGCCGCTTTCCCATCAAGGAAAGCGGAGGAGTAGCGGGTGCTTTTACTTGTTAGTATTTGCAGTTACCGGTGTGAAGCTTCTCTCGTTTAACTATTCGACTCATCTGCTGGGTGCACCTTTATCTTTGTGGCTCATCTGTGCATCTCTTCTTTTATTGGTTGTTTTGAACAGCCTTATTTTGGCTGTGTTTTTGTTTTTTTGGGTTTTTTTTTTTGGCATTGGAAGGATGCACTTAAAGGAGCAAATACACATTTATGGATGTAGTAATTAATACAACCGTCGTGCCTTTCATCTCTTGACATGGTAAGCATGCCCGGAGTTCGTGGTTCAATATATGCCACTGTACCTTTGCATTCCCGTCCCTTCCCAGCTGGGCAGGTACATCCCAATGCAGTTGGTGCCACCCGCAGGCACTTGTTGGTCCGAGTTTACCATGTGCTGCATTTTAAAACTCCACTGGGACCTTATGCTTATAAGGGTTTGGAAGTTACTTGAACTCCTTACTGAGAGTGTATTTGTCAAACTGGGAAGTTGCTCGGGGTAATTTTGTAATATATTTAGTGACTAGTCTTGTGGAATCAAGTTCTCCATTAGGACAAAGTGCTGGTCTATCTGCAGTGCCTTCCTGTGAGGCAGTGCTTATGTTGAAGACATCATGTGCCAGAAGAGCACCTGGAAGATGGGGTTTCTGAGGAAAGAACTTAAAATATGGTCTTGTTTTGTTTTTAACCATAACCTTTCATTAAGGATATTTATTTTGTTTTGTAGTTGCTTTTTTTTTTTCTTTGTGTGACTTGTACTGATTTGTTATACAGTATTCTAAAAATGCCCTTGAAATTGGCTGAAAGCAAAAATGTTAGTGTCTTGAAGAACATTTGGAAGAATGGATTGAAAAGTCTGTAAGTTTTAATTGGTGCAATGCAGAGCAGTTTTTGTGTACTTGCCATTGATAAAGAGGACACTTTAATACCTCTGGCCTCATTTGTTTGGTCTTGCCTGAAAGAGGGAACAGGGCTGGAGAACTCAATGTACCTTTCATGAAGTCTTGTGTTGCTGTATACCTTGTTTTGGTCCTAATCATTGTTTTCTGTGTGTTCTTCAATAGCAAGTGGTGTCTTGAAAGGGTTTGACCCTCTTCTCAACCTTGTGCTGGATGGTACCATTGAGTATATGCGAGGTAAGTAATATGTAATCTTTGGAAAGCTTCCCCTCCCTGAGTGGCTTTCTTGACAGAAATTTTATGGCTCTGTGTGTGACTAAGCAGAAGCTGCAGATTAACATCACCCAAACTACAGCATGCTTGGGATAACTGTCTTGTAAAGAAAGACATACAGGTGAAGGGTCTATGGGACTTGACAACATGGTCCTGAGGGAATTGGCTGTTACAGCTCCCAAGCTAGTCTAAAACATTTAAAAAGTGATGGCAGGCAGGTGATGGGAAAAAGGGAAACATTGAACCCATTTTTCAAAAGGGTAGAAGGGAGCCTGGGAGCTACTGTTCTGTCAGCCTGACCTCTTGTGCCTGCGAAGATCATGGAACAGATCCTCCTTGGAGCTCTGCTAAGATATTTGGAGTACAGGGAGGTGATTTTAGACATCCGCCATGGCTTTACCAAGGGAAAATCCTGTCTGAACAACCCAGTGGCCTTCTGTGATGGAGTGACTCCATCAGTGGCCAAGGGAAGGGCTTACAGATGTCTTTTTTCTGTACTTCTGTAAAGCCTTTAACACAGTCCCCCACTGTCTCAGCAGCAGGCCCCTGACCAGGTAATAATTAGCATTGACTCCATGATTCACAGAAGGCTGATCAATCTCTTTATATATATCATTATTAAGAAACCAATTGCTTTTATAGACAGTTATGATACACCTAGACCTAATTGGTCCTCCAATCCAAACACCATTGGCTAATTAAGAAATCGCCCTTTGGTAAACAAGTTTCCATAACACATTCCACATGTTCACAATAACAGGTGCAGCAGGCCAAAATAAGAATTGTTTCTCATTCTTTTCTCTGATCTTCTCACAGACTTTTCCCAGAAAGGCCTGGGAAAGTTGTCTATTGTTCTCTGTGGCCAGAGAGCTGCTGCCACACCCCACAACATCCTTGTCCCTGAATTGAAGGAAATGGATTTGATGGGTGGACTGTTTGGTGAATGTGGAATTGGTTGGATGGTCATATCCAGAGGGTAGTAGTCAATAGCTTAATGTCCTCGTGAACATCAATGACCAGGGGTGTCCCTCAGGGATCTCTGTGGGGACCAGTACTGTTCAGTGTCCATCAGTGACACAGGCAGTGGGATCAAGTTCACCCTCAGTCTGCAGGTGACACACCTGAAGGACGAGGCCATCCAAGGGGACCTGGACAAGTTTTTGAAGAGGGCCCACAGGAACCTCATGAGGTTCAGCAAGACTCAGGCTGGGGGATGAATAGATTGAGAGCAGCCCTGCCAAGAGCGACTTGGACATGCTGGTGGATGAGAGGCTGGACAATATGTGCTGCAGCTCACATTGCTGGCTGTATCCTGGGCTGCATCCCTACCAGGGATGGGGGATTCTGCCCCTGTGCCCACTCAGGTGAGACCCCAACCTGCAGAGCTGCCCCAGCCCTAGGGAACAATATCAGGAGGATGTGGAGCTGCTGGAGCCAGGCCAGAGGAGGTCACAGAGGTGCTGCAAGGGCTGGAGTCCTCTGCTCTGGAGTGAGGCTGGGAGAGCTGGGGTGTTTACCTGAATAAGAGAGGGGATGGTATTGTGGCCTTTCAGTTTTAAAGGGACATAAAAGGAAATGCTGGAGGGTGGGGGTAATGCTTCAGCAGGCCCTGTTGTAGCAGGGCAAGAGGTATTGGATTTAAACTAAAGGAGGGTCAATGTAGATATAACAGAAGATACAGATACAAGGAAGATGTAGTGTTGCTCTGTTCTTTTGAGAATTCTCAAGTTCTTCTAAAAGTTTCTTATGCCTTCTGATGTTTACATATTTCTACTGAATTTTCTCACACTGTTCATATAAACAATAATTGTTTTGCATTCTTCTTTGTGGGTGGAGAGAATTGATGGACTGTTAGTTTGACCAGTGTGGTTGGAGAGGTGGTAATTTCACCCTCCAGTCCACTGTCACTTTTATTATTCTGTATATAGTAGAGTCGGCAAATTAAGTTTGCTCTTTGGGTTCTTTTCTTTCCCCTTTTGCATCTAGTGTCCCTGTGTGAGTGATTTTGTCGTAGTGTGACAATGTAGATATAAGGAAGAGGGTTTTTTTTTTAATAATGAGTGTGATAAAAACACTGGGACAGGTTGCTTGGAGAGGTAGTAGGTGCCTCATCCTTGGGAGCATTCCAAGATGGAACTTCAAGCAACTGGGTCTAGTTAAAGATGTCTCTTCTTGTTACAGGGGGGCTGTACTAGATGACCTTTAAAGGTGATTCTACAGCAGAAGTTAGGTTAAGCACATTCCCTATGATAGAACATCCCTGCTAGTCCTTGCTTGAGCTCCTCTGTAGTTATCTCATTGGCCGCCCTTGTCCTCTAAAGAATAAAGCAGTGTCTTTCTCCTCTCTGATACAAAACCTATCATTTGATAAGACAGTGTTTTTGAAGAGTATTCTCATACCTGTTTAAAATGGAACACCTGAAGCTTCAAATTTCATCTTTAAAAGAGAGTTTTAAAACATGTTGTTCATTTCTATTGAATATAGAGATTTTTCTATATGGAAGATAGAACTGGTTGGTTTGTAAGTATTTGTTTGGCCTGTCTGAGAATGGGCTGGTGCTCTCTTCCCTAGTGCATTTAGAATTCAGGGTCTTTTTCTGATTTGTGTTAGTCACCAAGTGTTTGTCTATGATGGCATTTGAAATGAGATCAAAAGCTTTTTTTAATCGCTTGCATGTATACTATTAGTTAGATGCATGAAAAGGCCTTTGAATTCTTTAATAAATATATTCTGCTTTTTTTATATACAAAGCAGATTTCCTATTGCTCACTGTAAGTAAGGTCTTGAAAACCTCATATGTCACTGCTGCATCACCTGTATGGTCCATGTGCTCAATAAAACAAAGCAGTTATGCCAGGAAAAAACATGCATGTCTGTGCCTTTTGAAGTTGATGGAATTTGGTTTCTTTTTCTTATTTTCCTGTTCTAACCACAGATCTCTGCTTTTTAGATCCAGATGATCAATTTAAATTAACAGAAGACACACGTCAGCTGGGACTTGTGGTTTGCAGAGGGACTTCTGTGGTTCTGATCTGTCCACAGGATGGAATGGAAGCTATTCCAAACCCTTTCATTCAGCAGCAAGATGGCTAATGCTTTCTTTGGATTGTCTCTGAAAACTTCAGGGGGTGCAAATCATTGGAGAAAACTATCAGTGTGTGAGAAGCTTCCTGTTTTGGGGGGGGGAGTTTGAATGTGTATTTGTTAGTGTGAAAAAAATCAACTTTTATTTTTGTGGCTTTCATAAATGATGAGAGGATGTGGAATGTAAGAAGCATGTTCTTGTTTTCCTCCCAGCCCCAAATAAGTGTGTAATTATGTTGTTTAGACCTGACAGAAGAGAACATATTGTTATGAATTGTCTGAGAC